GACCACTGTATATTATGGTTTTAGTCTTAAGATGTTAGTCTTGGAGAAACATCAGGTGATTGTTTGCTAGCAGCTATTAATGAAAACCATGGATTCACTTATGATTAAAATTGCTACCCAGTTATCAACAGTGCAAGCATATACATACATAGCGCCCATCTTTGAGGTGTTTTAGCTTTCCGTTTATGAAGCAGAAGGAAGTGGAAATGCATCTCCCATCTTTTTTTACAGACTCCAATTGAGACGCACAGTGTGAAATGTAGGGTTTGTAAAAAGTAGGTGTGAGAAAAGGATTTGAGTCTGTTTATGATTTCGTGGAGGTATGAATGCAAGCTAATGGTCAGTTGTAAAAAGAGGATGGCAATTATGTGGTAAACTGATTATGATCTGTTGTATCTATTGAAAATTGTTATAAGATTAAAGCAACGTTTTGGCAGAAATTCAGGTTTGCACTTTGAGTGAATCATTAAATGAAACCATTTTAAGATTAATTTCTAAATTTAGTTTTATTTAGGCTTCCTTAATTGTAGTTTTTAATAACTTGTTTGTTTTAAAGGAGAGTTCATTTCACTAAACTAATGTTATTAATTTGCGTATCTTCAGGTAATCTAAAATGTATTTAGCTTTTTTTTTTTTCTTCAGTAAAACAAACAAACAAAACGATTTTTAGATGAAGCTTTAGTACTTAGTGAATCATAAAATCCAAGACAATTAGCTACAATTGGTTATTTTGTAGCTGGCATTTTTGAAAATGAGAGCCATCTTGTTTTTTCTTTTTGTAGCTCCTAAAATTAGGGACCACGGCTTCAGCTAAAGATATTTTGTAGTGTTTATTGGAGGAATAAAGTCACACACATCTTGAGTTTGCATGAGGATTTTTTGAATATTAAGAAACACTGCAATTTGACTGTTGAAGCAAAATATCTGTAAGACTAACCAAATGCTGAACGTAGAGTGTTTTAACCCCCCACCACCCCATTTTTTTTTTTGCAGAAATAACATTTAAAACCCTAAAACAGATATTGATTACTCTTTTTAACTTCCTTGTTTATTATTTCCTGGTTGCATATGATTTACCGTCACAAAACACTCAATAAAGCAGCTTTATCTAAATGCAATGCATCAATGCGTTTTTGGTTCCCCATATGAGCTTGTGTTTGATTTATCAGCTGCATGGTTTGTTGGATGCTGTAAACTAAACTAGCTGGAATGGATCCATCGCATACAAAGTCAAAACGCTTGCAAATCAAAGATGGCATATCGCAGAGGAATATGTGTCATGTATTTTCAAGAATCTGGGTCATTGTTGATCTGTCAGCTTGGGTTTTTGAAGACATGCTGCTTATTCAGTTTTTAATTATGCAAATATTGCAAGCATTTAGCTTTCGCACATTTATCTCAAATTTAAGAGGTGGAGATGAATCATGAATCAAGGCTGAAGGAGTTTTTTTTTCTGAGGGAAACCACCTGAACAGAGACCATTCAAGTACAGCAAATTTGTATACTATTATTAGTCTTTAATGTTATATTCACTTTGACTAGGTTTATATTTCCAGTGAAAACACATGCCTGAATGTATGCCTCAGAGTTCATTTTAATTATCAGGTTTGCCACTATTTGCGAAGTTGTTGATAAGGTGTTTAGAATAGCTGCTAGGCAGGGCGTTGCTAGATAGTCAGTTGTTTTAATTAAATGGCAGAAAGCCTAGTTTACGTTAAGGTTTATTTTTTGCATAATTTGAAAAGAAGAGACCTTACTAACTCCCAAAACTAATATTTTCTTTTTGTTTATAGACTGCCTCTGAAATGGACTGTACTGCAAAATGGCATCAAACAAATGTAATAAATGTCTTGGTGGTATCAGGGAAAAGTACTGCAATAGGGAATATGCAGAAGTATGTGGAGAGACTTTTAATATTTCCGTAACCTAGGGGTCAAGCGTAGGGCTGGGCGATATGGCAGAAATGCAGTCTCGCTGATTATTTTCCATATTGAACGATAACTATATACATTACAATGCTTCCATATTTAAAGTAGCATCCGAACAATCACTGAAGCCACAAAAATTCGAGGGCCCATTAAATGGTTACATTTTTGAAAATTCAGTACATCTCTAAAATCAACACGCTTTTAGATTGCCATTGTTGCACATTTCTGCTATGTGATTGATTTTTAGATAAACATGGAGTAAAAATATGCAGAGCTTATTAATGCTACTAACATAAATTTTATTGCGATGAAATATAATATCGTTTATCGGCCCATTGATTCCGGTAAACTGTATGCCATCACAAAATCGGCGTGTTTAAGGTCTGTCAAAAAGGTCAAAAATCATCTTCACTGCCTTATTGACATACAATATGAAGTGAGTCTCGGAATTTACAAGAAGCATTGAATTAAATAATTTTTTTTCCCGCATCATGACTTAAAAATGTGAACTTTTATTTTAGTACCCCAGTATTTTCAATAGTTTCTGCAATGGCCTGCTAATCCTCACATGCACGTACGTGTAAATGCCTTTTCATTTCGTTTTACACTTGAACATCTAAATGAATGCTGAAGTCTATTAAACTGATTTTTTTAATTACATTACAACACAGAGGCTGTTAAAGGAAACTTATAAAGTCAAAAAAAAGCCACATTACAGTTTTTCTCAGTGGCTTTGGTGCATTTCTCACAGCACTATTTACATTTAAACAACAGTTAATGCATTTCTCTAAACAATTAGTCATTTGTGCACATCATAGTAGCAGTTTCTCATTCCTTCCAACAAACTGCAAATGCTTTTGGACATGCATCAATTGCTTTCATACAACTCTCTGCAGTTTTATAACATCATTTGCTTATGTCATGTCAGTCAAAATTAACTACACTTGTGAATGCTGAATAGTCATTCCATATAAAACTAATAGTCCTCATTTTATTACTTGAGTCATTACATACACAAATGTTGAACTAGTTGTCAAAATCTGTCAAGCAAATTAAAAAATGATATATATTTTTTTTTTTCCTGAAAATGTCTTCTAAATTGAACAGTTTAAATGAATGGTTTACAGACCTACAGTATGTACAGTATGTTGAAATTTTCAACATTTCAGGAAGTGTCACCAAAATCTGACCTCTTTACATTGGAAAAAAATGTAGAGAGTGAACTGTCATAATGAAAACATGACAAAGCTATTTGACTACCTTGTTCATAAACAATGCTGTCAGGACTTTTCATCTTGATGACACTGACACTTTCATTGACATCAAAACTTGCTTTTGAAGAATGAGCTATCCATTTAGAGCAAGTGACACTCTTTTGCAGGTTATCAACTAAGTTTTGCAGTTTGTTTGAATTGTTTTGAGAATTGCATTACCTGTTGTGCAAATGTAAGTAGTGTTGTTTGAAATGCACCGAAGCGACTGACAAAAACTTAACCGTTCACTGGAAGTTGATCAGTATGGGAAGACGCTCCCATGTATGTGTATGTGCACTAAACATTACACTAAATTAGCTGAAGATATGTACCATGAATGCACATGGACATTTACAAAATCAGTTCAGGTCTAACTAGCTAAAATAAATTAAGGGGCTAGTTCACCCCAAAATTTGAATTCTGTCATAATTTTTTACTCGTGTCATTTCACATATTCCTATATGACTTTCATTTGTCTTTAGAACACAATTTTTTAAAAATCTCTTCATTAAAAGCCAAACAATCATAAAATACCTGCAAAAATCAGTCCAAGGCACTCGAAAAGTGTGGAAAAAAATATTCAAAAGCAGTTATTTGCATTTATTTGAGTGTCTTGAAATAATTTTTGCTGTTTATTCTAATGAGCACTTTTTGTTAGATTTTTAAATAATATTTTTTTATTATATATATTTATAATAATCCAGAGAGCTTGTTTCAAAACTCATTTCTAATGCAGGGAACTTGCAAAAGTTCTGATTATTCTCAGATGAGCAGCTTGTTTCAGCCTTGTAAATTTGCGTATTGCTAAAATAACCCATTTTTTAAAATAAACTGAGCAGAGACAGTCAGTCAGATTTAGTAATAACAGTGATGTTTCTCTTAGCAACCATCAGTGTTTAACAAATCCTCCTAGACTGTTGAGAGTCTCCCCCGGACAAGGCTATTTATCTTCATTATTTTCAATGATAAAGGATTATAGGTCACCCCTTAAATTTAAACAGGCAAGCTGTATTTTGACCAGTCACTTTGCTGATATATTTAGTCACCAGACACTTTAATCCACACCGCTAACAGTACTATAATTGCCATGCGACGTCCCATAAGACTGTTGGGGAGAGTGATGGTAGTCGGGTTAGTTTACTCTCAGCTATTGTCTGTACTTGTTACCTTTTCCCGAACCAATTGTATTGCAGACAGTAGTATTCAGATAAAGGCAAAAGATTTAATGAATATATTTGAGATTGTACTAATCCGATCTGCTGTCAGCTGTCAGTTTTTCAACCTTAAGGTTTCGTATTTTCAATTTATGTTTAGCGACGAAAGAAGTGACAGAAATATCTTTGCATTGAGGGACAGTTTTCGGTCACGGTGTAATGGCAGCCCTATAATTTGGGTGTGTGTATGTGTGAAGACTCTGAATGACCCAGATGTTTTAGTTGTGATTTCATCTCTAATCAGAACCTCTGGGACGAGCAGAGAAACTAGCGGGTGGATGAAAACACTTCTTAGAACTAGACACGCAGTCTGAACACGTACACGCCAGCACAATGCACATATGAACCGTGACCTGGTTTGTTGACACATTTTGGTACAGAATAATAGTCAGCACATTGTAATAAGTTGCATTTAATTAGTTAAATCTAACACACAAACATCCAAATCCTCACAGAGAGTGCGCTGTGGATTCAGGTTAAATGCACCCAAACTGTTTCATTTGTTCTTGGTGCTCTCATTGATTTTGACATTTATTTTTGAATGTCAGATTGAGGTAAAGTGGATTTAGGAAGAGGTGCTTAAAATGTCGTTCTGTTTTTTGCAGGGTTCCCCTCACTATTGGATTTGAATTATTTTGGTTTGGAGGACTTAAAACGATCAATGACAATCTACAGGAGCCCTTCTGCAACTTTCCCTACTTAAAAACAACAATAAAGGTAAGATGAGAAATGGTGTAAAATGTTTAAAACACTGCCGTGACAACATGAAGTTGTTTACATGTCCATCTGGTGCTTTTAATATGGCTAAACACACAATGGAATTATATTGTATTTTATTTTATTTATATATTTTTGGTTTAATTCGACAGGAAGGAATTTACGCTTTGCTGGGAGTTTTTTAACGTTCATATTCTGTGCCGCCATCACTGTCCTTCATTTTATCAGACAAACAAAACAGCAACAATCCAAGCGTAGTGTCAGCAACAGTGCCTTAAATCTCTTGGTTACAAACAATGTACTGCAAGGAGACTTGTTTTTCTTGAGTTATATTACATTGATATGCTCTTTATTATTTATAGTTTTAAAATTGCATTTACAAATATTTTTTTGCTTCAATTGGTCAGGAAGGAATTACTTAAAAAATATTTTGAAGGATTTTTAAAATTTCTTGAAACTTCATTTTGTGCTATGTTTGAGTAATTTTTCCAATTTTGCTGATTTTTTTTGTCATTAACAGTCCTGCTTACAGGTCCTGGTTACCTAACAGGTTTCCTGTGCAGCACATGCGAGTTTCTATAGTTACTACAAACGTTTGGGGGAAATGCTTGTATTTCAAACTGTGATCAAAACTGACTGGAACTACCTGTGCCTTTCAACAAAATCAATGCACTCCCTCCAGCCAATCAGAGTCAAGAATTTCAGCTAGGGATGCACTGATCCAGATACTTGGATAAGATACAAGTTAGATACCGCATATTTTTGCTGGATCGGGTATGAGTCAGCTGGTACAGATCCAAATCCGATCTCGCGTGTGCGCTGTATTCTGTGTTCATAAGCCAACTACGCCATGAAGGTAGTCTATTATAAGCCACTATATCCCAAATGTTCTGAAGCCAATCTACAGTTTATTGTGAAGTACAGATGAATATTCACATGGTTAAATTACTGTTCTCTTCAGCGCTTCCCGCCACTGCGCTTGTCAATCATTCTCCATTCAAACTGCTTGTCGCATTTATGACAACAGGAAAAACTCTCCAAGACCATTTGTTCCTGCTAGTTTAAATAATTAGTGGAGAAATGCATTTAGTTTTGCATTAAATGGGTTCATTTTGACCTGCAGCAGGAGTTCATTTCATTGCTGTTTCTACATCATGTTGCGCTGTGTCAGTTAGATCTTATCGCAAATAGAAATAGAGGAGTAGAGAGGGTTATTACCTGCTCTTCACCCACAAAGTAGGCCTACCTGAAATGTTTAATCAAAAAAGCCTTGATAATACACTGGACAGATCCTCAACGCACTTATTTCTTCCATTTGAGCTGCTGTTTTGCAAATGTCTGCAGATACCGTCTTTTCCAATTTTTCAGTCTAACCTGCATCAAAGATTAACTGAGATCCATCTTTTCAGAGGTTTAAGTCTGCTTGTTCACACTTATTGAAATGAACTGAAATAGAAAACCTGTCAAGTGTGAACACATCCAAAAACTGCTGCCTACCGAAGACACTCTCAGAAATACTGCCAAAAATGTAACCAGCCCTGTCAACTAGTAAGGTGCCGATTTGAAGATAGAAATGTAGTGGTTGAATTATGAATATTATGTATGGAATGTTTCCATGAACATACGTAATACATTTCTATTCAAAGAGGTAGTTTTTTTTGGCAAACAGGGTAATTGTGTAATGTTTGATGGACACTATTTGCCCCTGTACATTGTAGTTAGACTAACGGATTGAAAACTAGCCTGTATAATTTGATCTTGCTTTTTCTGAGTCAGTTTCTGATTCAAATATATCTCCAGTAACTTCCTATTGTGTAGCATTTATTAAATGAGCAGGTGAAAGCTAAAAAGCTGTGCTTGAGTTAAGGTGGGTCTATTTGCATATTCATGGTTGGCATACACTATATGAAGTAATGGTGTAAAGTTGCATGTTATAGAAGAGCCATTCTCAGTCCTAGCAGGAATCGAAGGTGTATTACATTTTGTGGCATTGTGTCACATCCATGGCTTGTTAGAAGCATTTTACATGCCTTGTGTGAATTATTTCATAGTCAATTTCAAGCTACCTTTTTTGTAATTCTGAAATGATGGGCCTTGTGGTTATGACAGTGTTGTGATTCTCATGTTGACTGAAACCGTAAATGGCTGAATGGAGACAGATGGAACACTGAGCTGATTTGTTTAGAGGATGTATTTATTGGGAACGTTTTGAGAGAATGATAACCAAATGTTCACAACAGTCTGTGAACTCAAAATGCCAAAGAGTTCCTTTTTAATGTCATTTTGATTATTTTTCATGATTGAGAGAGTAGAATTGAAGGGAATTGTAGGTGGTGCATGGCACAAGCCACAGTCACTATAAATGCTCATGGCAATGAAATTTATTTATTTTTAGAAAACATTCAGGCAGATATATTAAATGATTTTTGTCAAATTTATAATTAGTATTTATTAACAGATTAATTTTAGAATAAAAAAAAAATCACACCACTCACAAATCTTTTAAATTCATATTTTTAAAAGGAATCTTATATTTGTGCATATACATTAGTCAGTACTGAAGCCAAATCTGAAACTCATCTAACAAAATAACTTGTGTTAACTGTCCAAAAACTTGTACACCCAAATATATATCTTATAGAAAAATATTAAAAACTTAAAAAAAATTGAAAAATAAAAAAAGAGGAAAAATCAAAAGAAGCAAAAAAAAAAAAAATAGTTAATTTTGTAGGCTGTAATTGTTTTAAAAATTTTTGCTTGAATTTAATTGTATTTTCAATTTCTAAATATGTTGGTGACTAAAATATTATTTTAATAAATATATCTGTTTAATAAATCTGTTTTGTTTAAATGCACCAAATGCATTGCCTATATTTACTGAGAATGGATAAAAAAATTCATTTTCAAAATGGGCTTTACTCAATTATGCTGAGCACTGTACATTGCTCTATGTGCTGTACATTTTTATATACATTTCTATTCGAAAGTTTGTAGTCATTTGTGGTCAAAATTGGTCTTCAAAAAAGAAGGAATTTTGTAAAACATTAATATATGTTTTAAATAACACTTTTTCTTTTTTAACTTATTAAAGTGTAATTTATTCCTGTGATGGAAGAGTTCATTTTTTTAGAGGCATTTGAAAAATTTAGAATTCTTGTCAAGGTTGAAAAGGTTTTGTTGGAAATAGTGTTTTTTTTTTTTTTTCAGGATTCTATATGAATAGAAAGTACAAATTGATTTATTAATCATACATTTTACAGTCTAGATGGTGATTGAAGCAAAAACAAACAAAAAAAAATCATTAATTACACACATTTTAATTGATTTATTTAAAAAGGCGGTAACATCAGAGCTCCAAAAATACCAATTTATAAAATTAAAAAGGACAGCACAAAAGCGTGTAATGTTCAAGCACACTGGCTCTTCATAAGACTTCATCCGGTGTGCTTGAAACATTACATGCTTTGTGTTAGCCTTTTTAATGTAATAAAGTGGTATTTTTTGGAGCTATGGTGTTGCTGCCTTTTTGAAATATTTTTTGCACTTCTTGCTGTTTGGCTGGGCACCCATTTAGAGAGATGTGCGTGCTTTTGTGCATTTTTACACATTTTAATTAAGCCTTCCGAGGAAAAAAAATGTACAATAATTGCATTAGTACATCTGAATGAAGTGGAATAAACTCCAAAAATAATAATTAATATTGTTTGACTGGCTCTGTGGTTAGCACTGTTGCCTCACAGGAGAAGGTTGCTAGTTCCAGGCATTTCTGTGTGGGTTTCCTAGGTGCTCTGGTGAATTGAACAAACCAAATTGGCCATAGTGTAGGAGTGTGTGAATAAGAGTGTGTATGGGTGTTTCCCAGTGCTGGGTTGCAGCTGGAATGGCATCCGCTGCAAAATAGCTGATTTATATTTCTGCGTCAAGCGCACGCGTATGATCCGGCACAGCCTTCGCTCAGTCGCATAGACCTCTCCATGGCTGACACCAACGCTTGCGCACACCTCTCAAAAAAATATAACTACTCTTCGCAACAAAGCATAGCGCAAGCTCTGTGATTGTTCGGCTTGGTAGTGCTGACGAGTGTGGGCGGTGCTGGTCCCGTAAAGGAGCTTCAGGTGAAAAGATTTGTTTTGTCTTTACTTTATGATCAAAGTTGTGGCATGTTTGCCGGTTCCCGCCTCTGAAGGAGCGAGTTTGAGCTACTTGTAGCATTCTGGAAAATGAAAATATCCACGAAGAAACTCGTCACAGAGGAACATAAAAACCTCACTGCCAGCTAACGCTTTGGAAATGTTATTTCAGAGCAACGCAAGCAGCTCGCTGAAGTATAAATGCACGACTATGTGCAAGGCATGCGCTGTGGGTCACGCCGATCATTTGACGCAGAAATATAAACCAGCCTTAAAACAGATGCCAGAGTAATTGACGGTTCATTCCACTGTGGTGACCCCTAATAAATCAGGGACTAAAGCCTGGTTTATACTTCTGCGTCAAGTGACCGGCATGACCCACGGCGCATGCAACGCGCGTAGCTGTGCATTTATACTTCTACGCGCTGTCTCTGTTGGTCTGAATTAACACTTCCGAAACACTAGTTGGCAGTGAGGTGTTAATGTTCCTCTGTGTCGAGTTTCTTCTCTGCTGTTTTGCTTTTCCTGAACACTTCCTGGATGTACAAGTGGCTCAAACTCACTCATTTTGAGGCAGGAACCAGCTAATGTGCAAGAACTTTAACTATAAGGTAAACACAAAACAAAACTTTCCATCCGGAGCTCCTTCACGGGACTCCACACTTGTAAACAATCGCTCCATTGGGCTCGCGTCCAGCTCGCGCCATTCGCGCGGCTCTCGGTCCCGCCCAGACTCGTCAGCGCTACCAAGCCGACCAATCACAGAGCTTGAGCTACGCGTCCTTGCGACGTGTAGTTACAATTTTTGAGAGGTGTACGTTAGCGAAGGGCTATGTGTCAGCGCCGTAGCATACGCCGACGTTTGACGCA